GTGTAGTTTCCTCTGGTTGAAGGTACTAAAGTCAATACTCTCTCTAAAGGTGATACCTGGCTAGGATTCAAGTATAATAACCTCCAACCTTTATTTTGTGTTCTCTGCCGTCTTCTTGGCCATGATCGTCACAACTGTAACCAACATATGGTTCATTCACAAGACAAAGAAATGCTTCTGATTGGATTTCATGATGGTGAAGGGGTGACTGAAAACTCTACTCGAATAAATGTAGAAAATCAACAAGGTGCTGAGACGGAGAATTTTAGCAGTTGGCCCAATGAGATACACACTCCTGCTGGATCAATGATGGGTCTAAATCAAGATGATCTGGGCTTTTCTAATGATAACAAAGAAAGCCCAAAACAGAAATGTGGAAAACTTCTTAAACTATGGATTGAAACTGGGCTTCTAGCAGTTGAGGAACTGAAAGCCTTGGGTTTGCAACAAAGCCCAACAGGTGATTTTATCCCTACTAATACTCAAGCCCAAGCAACAACTAATCTCAATGGAAATGTTATCTCCCAACAACAACCTGAGGTATTTGAAATCCCTAATTCGAACTCAGATGATATCCATTTTGTTCTTCCTCAATCAACCCTGGTTATTAATGATGGAACGGGTTTACCTACTACTAATCCCCGCCGTTGTGGCTGTCCTCTAGGTTCCACAAATAAGATGCCCAAAATTAACAAGAATGACAAGGGTAAAGGTCCTTTGGTTCAAGAAAGATGCGATGAAATGACAAAGAAGAGGAAAATTGTTGAAACTATCATGCCAACTGCTGAAACCCCACCATATATACTTGTTTTTAACTCTAATCTGATGAACATTGCCGAGGTGCCTGCAAATTTCACTAATGAAGCTGCTCCTTCATCTTTCTCTTTCGATTTCATCAGGCAACTACTCCTTCACCCTGTTTTTGCATCACTCTTAGCTCATGATAGTATTATAAACCTATCTATTCTATCCCTCATACCACCCATCACTGAAATCTCACCATCACCTCTCTCCATCTTCCATGGCCTTTATGTTGTTAACTCTGATGACGAGTATAATGAAGACAATGAAAACCACACTCATTACATAACTGATGTACTTACTGTTACTGACAACAACAACTTTGAAATTCTGGTTTACAACAATGCAATTGTGGATCTCCAAGCTGATCTTGGTAGCATAATTCACCCGGCTAACTCTCTGTTGTGCTCTTCATCTGCTAGAATTCATACTGAGGTAAGTTTCCTAATTTTAATTTCAAACTACAACCGCTCACTTCTCCCGCATCTTCTACAATTTGAACTTTATATCTTGTACACCCCTGTGAACAAAATTATCAATAATCACAATCTAATTGCCCAAAAAATATTTCATATTACTTCTATTTCTGCTACTTGGTTTCTACTGAACTTGTATCAAACAATACACTGCTATCATGTCTTGACTATATGCTACTGGTGGTTACCTGTTATTGTTGAACTTTGTTGTTATGGTTATAAACTAAAGCTGCTGATATGTTATTTTCTTTACTTACTGATGATATGTGACCTGAAGCTGCTAATATGGTACTTTGATTACTTATTGTGCCCAACTTCATCATCTAACTGCTATTGCTAGTGACCGCGTCCTTTTCTTCTGGTTTTAACTCCTTCACAAGCCCACAGCCCAAAACAATTCAAATTTTAAAGTATGTGGACCTTAGATGAGGGATACAACCAAGTTGTGTCCAACTTGGGGCAGAGTGTAATGCCTCCTTGATGAAAAATCTCTTAGTCTCCATCTTGTTTACAGATGATAATTTTATCTTCTGTAGGGCAAATCCTTCTGAAGCTCATCAAGTCATCGATACTCTACAGGATTTTAGCAACTTAACTGGGCAACAAATTAACTTTGCTAAATCTGGAGTGTTATTCAGCAACAACACACCACCTCAACTCCAATCTCACATTCTCAACATACTCCAAATGAACAAACTTCAAAAAATGATGAATTCCACCTGGGAACCCCTATCTTCCTAGGTCTAAGGAAATCACAACTCTTTAGTCACCTCACCAGGAGAGTGGCTAATAGACTTGCAGGTTGGAAAAGAAAAGTAATTTCTCAAGCTGGTAGGACTGTTCTTATAAACTCTGTGAGCTTAGCTATCCCTTCATATCAAATGACCTGTTTTAAAATTCCTAAATCGTTAACTGACAAGCACAATAAACTCCAAAGAGACTTTTGGTGGGGATTCAATGAAAATAACAAGCCCACCATGCATTTCAAAAATTGGGACTTTATTTGTAAGCCCAAATGTCAGGGAGGAATTGGTATGAAAAAACTTCATATCCAAAATGAAGCCCTCTTATCAAGAATTGTTTGGAAAATCCATGAATGTTGTGCCTAACAAAGATATGATTGGAAAACATGTTGCCAACCCTTTTGAATGCCCTATGTGTCAATTTCATTGTGAAGATCTAAGACACATCCTCCTGGACTACCCTAACACTAAATCGGTTTGGTTCCACACTAAAATAAACTTAAGGCTTCTTCACTTTGCTAACTTGGATGTTAAGTGTTGGATTTATTCTTGGTATTGCCCCCCTAAACCTTGGTCAATGCCTACTAAACAATGAACTACTTACTGTGTTACTATTACTTGGTGTTTTAGCAAGATTCTACACCAAGGTGATATAAAATCAAGTTAAAACCCCTAATGTTTTGATTATGGATGTTTGAAGAAGATGAAGAAGGGGAAGGTTTTGATTGTTGATAATGGCTGTACTAAGTTGTTTCTTAGTTGCCTACGTATCCATAAGAAAAATGGAATCAAGCCTTTTATAACGTAGTTCAAAGTAGATATTGATTTGGGTTAGGATATGATCCAATGACCCTAATGTATTGTAGTGTTGTAGTCCCATGTATGTAGACCAAATAGTGATTTAATTGATGTATCTCATATATCTTGGAGACATGAGTTGTAGAAATATATGACTTCTTGTTTAATTAGGTTAAATGAAATCTCTACAAAGATGTAGGTTTACCAAATTAACCTTATTGAGTTGATGGATTTAAATAAGAAAAGCCCATGATTGGTATTGAATGTAGGAACGGGCCTAAGCCCATAATTGATATTGAAGTGGGTTTGGGCCTATATCAATCATTATATTGGACTTGGACCATTGTTTGGGCCCTTTAGGGAGGGTCCACACATCGCTTTCGCCCATCAGCTAAAGAAATGAAAAAAAAGCAAAACTAGAAAATGAGCGAGTAGTGAATGAAGTGGTTGTAAGATTAACGAGAAAGGAGGGGTGGATGAAAATTGGTTGAGTAATGAATTGAAGTGTTGTGTAATGAAAGAATGGCTAGTGGTGAGGAAGGAGAAGGACTCGATAAAATTGAAAATTTGTGAAAAAATGATAATGACAATACTGTTGGCTGTAACGCCCTGGAAGCATGTTTGGTTGTGATCACTCTTGATATTGATATTGATGTGATCATTGTCGATCACTCTTGATATTGAAATTTATGTGATCATTGTAGATCACTCTTGATATTGAAATTGGTGTGATCATTGTAGATCACTCTTGATATTGAAATTGATGTGATCATTGTAGATCACTCTTGATATTGAAATTGGTGTGATCATTGCCGATTACTCTTGATATTGATATTGATGTGATCATTTGTCGATCACAGATTGAGATTGAGATTGATATTGATGGGATCATTTGTAGATCATAGATTGATATTGAAATTGGTGTGATCATTGTAGATCACTCTTGATATTGAAATTGATGTGATCATTGTAGATCACTCTTGATATTGAAATTGGTGTGATCATTGCCGATTACTCTTGATATTGATATTGAT